TAAATATTTAGTCAAAACCGACACTTGTATATCTGCTCGTCGGTCAAACATTGTTTTAAACGTCTGTTGTTAAAACGCATTCTGTCATCATTCTTTGGCGGAAATAAATAAATACAGTTCATTCACTGACCTCTAATACGATGTCTTTATTGGTTTGATTTAAGCTCCCATATATCTGTCATTTTACAGGGGTTGTTCTGTTATCGGAGATTCCGAATCAGACCTTACTAGTTGCCAGGCGACACTCGAAACTCACTGGACAAAACCCGGATGTTCCGGAAGAGCGTAGGTTGTATACCGTTTGGATATAACACAACGGGTTCATGACATTGACTGATAACCCGGCCATAAACTTATTCACAGAAATCTTAAAATAGGAGACGCCTGCGATGCCCAAAGCCTGTAAACCATAGTCATAACATAAATTAACAATCTTATTCCATATTTTATCCGTGGCAAAAACAAAAAAATACGCGTCATTGTGTGTGGGTAATTTCTGATTGTTTTCTTTTAAAAAATAGCGTGTCCCGGAATCAACGGAAGGTGGTTTTCAATTAATCTGCGCATGCGCCAGGGACAAGACTGAAATGACACATGGCAACGCCGAATGATAAAATCCAGGGAGGCGGAAACAGACACTTCAGATTGTACAAACCTTTTGAACAAGACACGTGACTAAGATCGTAATAATTATGCAAACAAATATATATGGTTGTGCAGCGTATTTTCACGTAACTCGACGACACTGCATTTAGCTGATACGAGTCAAAGGTCAGATGGACGGAACACGATAGCGGGACTGGACCTCGTGGAGATTTATCCATATATACAGGCTAAATACAGTTTTTCCAACTGGCGATTTAATCGTCACAGTGATCTCGCCGCACCGTGTTCGTTATAAGTCCAACGTATTCTGGGTCTTCATGCGACAACCTTTCCCCAAGGTGAATGAACCATGATACAACTGATAGAAGCATCATGACGTAGTGCTCATGGTCAGATGTAATCGAATCTCACCTACCAGTTATGTGGAGACACCTGCTCAAAATACAGTTTTCAGTACCCAGTAGGTGATTATAAATAATAATGACCTCAACTCGTCGAATCATTGTCTCAGTATCACATATAATGAATAACTGTAATATTCCGACGTACAACACAGAATGCACTGTTTTGATACAAGCATATATTATATATATTATATTGTCTTATAATTTTGTGATAATCATACTTTATTAATCTGAAAACCTAAAAAGAAATGTTAGCTCTTTCTTTACGCTAAGCATTATTCTAGTCTACTTGTTAAAAAACAGAGGTCAACGACCTTTTTTTCAAATTGGTGCTCAAATACAAATGTTCAACAACCGCAAATTCTAGAATTTAGTGCCATGGATGGCAAACTATGATTTCTATAGTATATCTGTGGATTGTATAGTTATGCACAAATCAATACCCCAACAATAGTAACAGTAGCGACGACGACGATAAAAACAACAACGTGCCATATCATGCAAAGTTGAAGTCAAACTGCTGATCCCGTTCCAGCCTGGGGGAATTAGTTGTTAGCACTTACAATACTTACTGGTTCAAGGTTTCAAGTTGGCCAGGCATGTTCCGGGACCTGTACGTTACGGAACACAGTTCAGTATAACCCCCAGTATATGACGAACTGAGTCAGGTACGTTACGTGATCTTCACGATTTGGGACACGGTCAGTATACGTACTGACACAGATAAACTGTTTTGTTTCTTTATAAATGTCGCCTAATTAGCAAACTTATATACATCATAAAATTATAGGAATACGCCACCCCCTAGAACAAAAAAAGTCTGGCTGCGAAAAATGCTCGAACAATTCTTCTGAGATTATTGCATATTTAATCATGTAGGTTTGATGTTTTATTGAATGAGACGCGATATTCATGGATATTCATCAAAATTGTAAGCACCACCATGGAAATTCAACTTTAAGGGCTAACATTACAAGTGCCTTTACTGACCACTGGTACTGCATAGTTTTGAAATTCCAATCACAGCTTCAAGTCTGTTACATTTCAAAAACATATCGGAGTGTGCCTTGCGTACTACAAGGCCATGAACTCGTTGCTATGGTAAACTACTTTCAATTCATATTCTTATCATAGGCGCGCTTGTTGCGCGGATGCCCACTTACTGGTGTGATCCGGTGAGTGATTTAGCAAGTGTCTCCATTGGTCGTTTACATTTTGTAAATGAATATTCTTGCGATGAAGCACCTTAATTTGACGATGGCCTCTGTTGACTCATGGGAACAACATTTGATGAATGTTCATGTTAGTGAGTCGTCATAATGAGGAGTAGTGCATACCATACCGCGGCCGGCTGAGTGCTCATTTTTTTGGAATAGCGATCTGAGAGACTTAATACTTACATGCTATTAGTATATGGCAGTTTCTCACAGACACGCATAGTTCTAAATTTGTCACGCATGAATGCTCAATATATCAATAATAAAAAGTTGACACAGTGAACTCAATGCTTCGGTATTTGGAAATTCTGTATTTGGGATATCCGAATGGTGTCAAAGCCAAAATAACTTGTATATGAGCACAGAAGCCCGCCCCCATACAAGTAATAGTGCTACTGTGTTGAGTTGTACATCCGAATCGAATAATGGTATATTACAGTCATTTATATTGTACCGAAAACCGAGTTTGTTGTATATTGTTGCTGGCACTGACTATTTATCAGAAACTGGCGTGTTTTGATCTTAATTTTGAAAGACTTCCTTGCCTTACTTTATAATTACTGTATAGTATCTCTATTATGCAATCAATCTTATCCGATCACCGCTCATTGGGGCATTATTATCTCCAAAGGATGAACCTTGACCCCTACCTCGTCTCAGGATGGCGTCCAAACTAGGTGAACTATGATACAAAACTCGACAAATGAAGAAAGTGTCTTACTTAATGAACAGCAAACGTTTTTATTCCAAATCATGTCATGTCATGGTTCCTAATACTGTTGTCAATAAATACCACCATACAGGCACGTACTTCCACCACCATGGTGAGTGTACTATAAACATTGGAATAATGGGTTTTTAAAAACGTCTCGGTTGACGATGTTTGATTTTAATTATTTTGAGACGTGACTATTATAACCTTGATATGATACATCTGCAAAAAGGACTCCCTTGTAACCATGACAACACTGGATTCGGCGAGTTTCCCATACCGGCCAATCACTCAACAACGAGAAAGTTACGGGTACCTTAGTTACTGAATCAATGAAATATAATTTACCTCGTTACAAGGCTGAATAATTCAGAATTGAACGAAACAACATATGACAAAGCCCCGCGGCTCGCCTGAAGTCAACTATGTGGTCACGTGACTGCTACGTATTGCAACGATACTTCAGCCGATCGTCTTATCAACTGTTTGGAATACCAAATTGTGACGTCATCTTTGTGACTGCGCATTTCATGGGTAAGGGAAGGGCTGTGTGTAAAGCGTAATAGGTGGGAGATGGTCACGGTGTATAATCTAACAACAATTTGTTATCACGGTGGCAAAGATAGTAAAACTTTCAACCAATATGGGCGTAAAAGACCCCTCCCCTGGGAGGGGAGTCATCGAGTTTCTTGATTTCAATGGCGGCCATTTTCTAAAAATAAATTTCCGAAACAACGGGAGTATATTCCAAAATTAGCAAAGACCTATCGCGTGAGTGTGGGCGAAATTAACTCTGAAGCCTGAGTTTCAAATATCACATCTTTCAGATTGCAAAGCGGTGCGCACTCAGCACATATAATCCGATATGAAACACTCAACTTTGTTTCAAGATTTGTATTTATCCGAAAGTGCTCAATACTGGAATGGCACTGGCAATCGTCTGTCATATGCTGTACCATAAGTTTAAAGAGGCGTTATACTGTCATGGTATGGACTTGTGTGCATATGGAAATACTAAAACCAGTCTATAATCGAGTTACTATTATACACATGGACTTACTTGTGGGTACATGTTATACTCGACCGTATGTTGACTTTTCTTTTCACCGTGACTGTTTGTTATGAATGTCTGTAATAGTATGCGCACATTTAAATTTTCTCAGAATGGATACTTGTGAACTTATAACACAAACAGCATTTATTTTCGTCGTAAGAATTGACCCTCCTTGAGAAATGAAGAGGAGTGTTGGCGTAGGCCCTTGTCGAGGACAGGGCCCCATGATAAACAATCGCTCTTGGGAGTGAAAACAAACAAACCTATTCCATCCCTAACCATAATATTGAAAAAGAAATCAAGGGAAGCCATACACTTCATTATTTTCGAAGCACAGACTTGTTATATGGACGCACTTAATCATCGTTGTGGGAATTTCATATCTTGTTGTAATCATCGGCAAGCAGATATATAAATACAACGCTGGTATTTAACGGAATTCCTGCAATACTTTCTCGTATGGCCGCCATTTTTGACAATATATTTCAACATACTCAAAGGCAGACTACAATTAAATGCTATTTAATAATTGTCGATATACTCTCAGGTATAATGGCCCATCGGGTGTGCGCCAAGTAGTTTGAATTATTTTGGGGGTCGGTACGTTGATATGACAAGCTTAAATACTGATTCGACAGTAGTACTGAATTCTAACTTGGAACGTGAATACATTAATTTGATTGGGATCTTAGTATAATAGTGTTTTTTGCAATAAAAGTGCATGAGCCATGACTGGCAATTGTATGATTTCGTGGTCTGGATTTTTGTGATCTCACATCTGAACGCTATTTGGGAAATACGATCATTTCGCCGTTCAACATATGTCATGAGATACTAAATAATGTCATCCATGTTTAAATCGATAAACGTCCCGTCTACATTCATCAGAAATCTGTAACATTTCTGTCATTTTGGGCGTCTTTTTTTGTCATCATCGCAAAATCCACCATGAACTACCGAGCCAACGATGTAAATTATTATAAAGGATAAAAATGGAGTTCACTCACCGTTAAGGTCGGGAAACGAACATCTACAGCGGTTGCGGGCTGGAACACATCGATCGGAGAAAACCTCCCTATTAGAAGTATGCTTCAAATGCCGAGGAAACCTAATACGCTACCGCACACTTTGGCCTTCGCCAAATATGGTTCGTAGAAATGTAGTCAGCTCGAAGACGGGATGGGGGACCCCCTATGTTGTCAGCTAATATTGGACAGCTGCTTTCTTGCACAGTGCCTGCCGCGATGAGTTATGCCAACATGTGTGGTTATGGTCAATCCAGGAGATTTGTGCTTGGTTTGGAGTTGCTAAGTCGGCCACATGAATATTGACCGCAAATAAAAAATAATGCTTTTCAGTTCACGATCTGAGTCGCACGCTGACAACCGGCGTTGCAATACGAGTTATAAGGTAAAATAGCAATTTGGTTTAAATCTTCACCAGCTTACCACCTCATAGAGAACACACAGTGTGATCCCCTTGATGTGTCAGCCAATTTGACAAGACAGGCAACTGTTGCCAACTTATTAACGAGTGAACTGGAAGGTAACTGAGGAGTCCTTAGCGACGGCGGGGACAGTTGTTATGGAAGTAGCGTGTAGTACCAATGACGTAATCTTGTCGAACTAATTTTTGCGCTAAGCTAGGGGAACCGTCCGGTGTATCAGCAAATCATTTCGTTAATCTTGCTGATGGATGTCTGACATGTTTCGCAATTCAGTACCAGGAGTTAGATAACTCAGCGTCTCGCGAGAACTATGTTTCATACCAAATTTCGGTGGAATATTCGAGACATTTATCAGAAAATGCGAACATTTAAATATGCTGACACTGAAAACTAATAGTGATTCATTTCTTCTGCGGGGGTCCCTGATTTGAAGCACTTTTTTCTTCTTTTTTCGACTGTGTATACTTTTTTTTCAAGAAGAATTCACTTTGCTTCTCGTTATTTACTTCTTATAATCTATTTGCTAGTTTTTGGCATGTCCCGTGTAGAATGGGGGGGGGGTCGTGCCTTATACCATACGATGGTGATTTATCGGATAAGATATAGATGGACATACCATAATTACTTGTCGAATTAAACATCCAATGAAATATCCAGATAACGGAATTTGCACGCATTCTGTGGTTGAACTGTTATACATCTAAGAATTGTGCCAAGGGTGCTAAATGATTGTTTGTACAGCGAAGGCGTCAAATGTGGACAGTGCGTGAAATTGAAAAGCGCTGTCACCGAGATGAGAGTCACATCACCCAAAACAGACAGCGTATATGCAATGAACACGCTATATTATCCTCGGTTGTAGTCTATAGTCAACTTCCGATGATGGATGATTTGTGTTATTATCAAAGCTGGGAATTTAGTCTGGTGTTTGGATGATACGTAAGTCGAATGTAAAGATAACCCGCGCTTGCTTTCTCATCCATGTCAGAACAAACATTGGAGAGCCATTATTTAAATCGTCACGTAATACGTAATAATAAATATACCACCATACGTAGTTTTGAAAGTGTTTGTGTTCACATGACGGCAGACCCGGAAAGTGAATAAAAACAATTATATTTTTGTCTATCATATATCTGAGATCTTTCAGGTGCTGATTAGAATCCCTAAAAGTTCAAAATGTTACCCACTTTCTTTCGAAATGGCATCTGTTTTGGTCTCATACTAAGCAGGGCAAATGAAACAAGTACCCACAGTTTGGAAAATTAAAATAAGTCTGATTTGTCAAGTGTTTACCCTGGCCATAGTAAGCATTATCACAGAAATCCATCCAGGCTGATAATGACAATATTAGAAAAGTTGAGTATACACACTCTAAATATAAATATGTCACTTACAAATCATACGGCTTAAACAGTGTGCAATAGAACTATACGACCCCTTGCAAAACAGAGAGAGAATCCTCCATCGTATGTGTCTCGGCTATGTGACCTCGCTCTTTATATTATAATTATGGTGTGAAACCTTTACATATCGACATAGAAAGGAGCTCGCTTTGATTTCACAAGGTACAAGCCTTGACACTCTTTGCAGATCTAAAAAACTACATTATAGTTTATTGTTAACCAACCGAGTTGTTGAAATTAATCTGACCAGGGAGCTGTAATCTGACTGACTGGTAAGGATAAGAATCTGTAAGTTGCAAACGATGTGGTTCATTTGAATAGCAGTCGTCGGCGTCGTCACGGAGCGCGCGTTTAAATTTCGTATAAACAATGTATTTTACGACACGTTGCGAAGAACACCGTCCATTTAATTATCAAGTATTAATTTGTGGGATAAATTATGCAAATCCCCGTGACCGAAATAAAAAATAAAGAAACTCGAAATGACAAATCTTTAAAAGAAAATGTTGAATATTTGCATATTCGATTATAGCGATTAGAAATAAATCCTATAAAGGTCAAACCGAGACAGCTCAGAACGTACAAGATATAATATATCGGTGTATGACAGTTTCGAAAATATTTTATTTTAACATGTTCGCTACTTCTTGATTTATGCGAGTTTACATGTAATATATCTATTGGATGAATTCCAAATAGGATTTACTCTCGTTTATATGAGGTATCATTTTCATACATTGTGACTGTATTTTATCATTTGTGTGATATTCATTCCAATGCGTTCCGAGTCTCGGATCACACTATTATAGTATCTAAGAGTAATGGTAGTAAAACAAATACAGAAGACCAACACATTCTAAAAGTTGTCACGTGGAATTTTGACGAATATCTTTAAACATAATCGGTAACCGCCTTGATTTAAAGTAGAATGTATACAACTTAAATATTGACACAGTTGTGTCACCGTCGAGAACACCCAAAACCTTGTTTCCAAGCAACACGACCCGAATCCTGACATGGTACAATATGAGAAAAAAAATGTAATTTAATTTTGACCGTAATCATTATATATTCATTATATATCATGTCATAGATATACAGATATATTGGTATGACAATCCGAGCGGAGGCTCGGAGGCTTTTAATTAATGCACTTCCAGATCAATATTTCTCATTATGACAAGTACTTGTACTATATTACTATAAACATAACTATATAACTTAGATTTGATAACTGATGGGGATAGATTTGACAACTAACGGGGATTTTGCCATGCATGGCTTCTTTAATGTTGCACTCTTTACGAACACCGAACTACTTTTCACACGCACAATCATATTTCTAATATGAGTACTTATGGTTGCTATGGAATTCTGACAAGTACTATTTACTTCATGCAATAATGCTTCAACGTGGATTCCTATGGAAATTAATCAACAATTATAATATTTTTTATGTGCAAATATTCTCCAAACAAATATATCTGAAAAGATAAGCACATATGCACACAATAATAATTATGTGACACTTGGGGAAATAAATATTGAGATGCTTGTTTCGACCATATTTAAAAGGTCAAATGCCCGCGAACGACCTTAAAACCTACCACCTATATAATTTACGAGAACAATTACTATTATATAGCTGTTGTCACACAACTTGAGGGAGTCAATGCGAAGCTACTTATAAAATTATGTCTGATTGGCTACCCAGCCCTACCACATAACACACAGACCAATCAGAGAGCAGCTTGCATTGTGCCTGATTGGCTACTCAACCTAACACATAACACACAGATCAATCAGAGAGCAGCTTGTTTGTCGACAGATTTTGTCGGCGTTTCAAATTCTGCTTTGTATATATGCTTCGACTCAACTACAAGAAGGACACGAGTCAGACTTGGAAAACTGATATTTTAATAAATAGAAAGTGGGTATTTCAAAATGGAGCTTTCTGATTGGATATTACACAGTAAAACTCTGAATGTGTACACGGTGTGGAGTCTTCGTCTGGTTTGAATGTTTTCCATGTAGTTACATAGGAATGATATTTTAAAGCGCGGTGGTCGTCGCGCTGCGCATATGCGACATTTGTGGTGATAAACATTGATTTCCCATAATCCAATGCGCTCTTCAAATGGAAATCCCAAGTATAAGGTTTAACCTGGGCTCGACATGCACTGAATACCGCCAGTGACTCCTTCGATACCTTCCAATCACCTAAAATTACCTAATTAAAGCTTGAAAACGTCTCAGCTTGTACTAGTTGCTCTGTGCAACAGTTAAAGTCGCCATCTTTGTTTATATGAGATGCATATATCTCGCGCATGCATGGCGCGACTACTACCGCCCTTTAACCAATTTTGAACATTTCAGAAATGTAGTAGTTGTACATAATTCCGCTGATCTTCGCTAAGAAATTAAGTTACTTCATTCAGTATACGAGACCGGTTTAAGCCTTGGCACTCTGTTGTGATTCTCTAATTAGTCTTATAGAAGAAATAAAACACACGACAAAGTTTAAAATTTAAAAGTTGCAGTCATACACACGCACCCCGTTCCTGAAGTGCCCAGCCAGAAATGACAGTAGATATATTTCACTATTATTGTTATATATTATTATTTTTAACCATTTTCAAACTGAAAATATTTGATAGTCGTTGCCATAATAGGTGGCGTTCGTGTTCATTTTCTACTAAAACAATCTCCCAAATACCGTTGTTACTCAGTGTTTAATTTTTACTATGCACTCTCTAGGACGTTTTGTATTTTTCTGCCAGGATTAATATTTTTGGTTTCGTGGAAAGTTATTTGTGTGGTTTCAATGTTAGGACGTCTGATAGTATGTGGTATATAATTATGTTGCTGTCGCGTAGAATAACAGATGGGGTCAGTTTGGGTGATAGAAAACAAATCCTTCTCTTGTATGACATAGCCCCAGTCAACTATTCCAGATGTTTCTGTCGATTGATTAACTCTTCTGTAGCCACTTAATATGATCATGTTATCGAAAGTTTGGCAAATTCTGTACTAGTAGTGGTTGGTCTCCAGCTATGGGCTATACGCGATCTTACTAGACTGTAGATAAGTCCTAACATTTTGTTGGGTATGTCTATTTGTTAGCATACGTTTTACTTTATATACTTGTAAGGACACATGGCGTAGTGTATTTTTGTCCCCCCCCCCACGATGCTAACTAAGCCAGATAGAATACTGATT